CCACCCCATCCAAATTCAGAGCACCCAGGGCTTCCCTGACATATGGGCTCTCGATGCACATTCAGAGGGAGAGGACTGAATAACACACAACGGTCTGGACTCAGTCATAATTTAGTCAGGTATTTCCCGAAGCAGCTTCCAGCACTGGGTCAAAAGAGCTTAGAGCACAGACACATTATGGGCTGTAACAGAAGTCACAGACCGAGAGCCCGACTCGTCTTCTCTGTACAGCGATAAAAACTTTCTACCCATACAACACCGGCTCTTCTGCTTCCAGAGCATTTACGCTGCCTTTGGGACCCATTTTCCCAGCAGCCCCTTGCGCTCACGGCTCGTGAGAAGGAAGGTTCTACCCTTTCCAGGACACGGAAGTCGAGCAGAACCACTTCTTAATCGAAAAGGGAGGCGGGAAAAGGGAGGGAGGGAAGGAAAGGTTGATACTGCACCACAGATTCCAATACCTGAACAGACGTTGTGGGGGTGGGACGTGGGGAGGGGGAGACAAAAGGACCTCGGGGGTCCCCTGGCAGGGTGTAATTTAAGGACTATTTGGGGGCTTCGAGCTGCCAATTGGCACTGTTTTGTCAGGAACATGGAAGGAAGGCTACGGTTTCTGAACTTGGCAGGCGTGCTACCTTCCATGGATCCAGCCCGACTCCATTGGCAAACGAGACCAGTCAAAACACACAATACTGCAGTCACAAGGAGAAAGATGGCACAGATCACCATCGCCAGTTCCGTTCTTCTTCCCAGCAAAATTCCACAGGTTCCAGGGCTGGGGGCCAGAGAGGCACGCGCCCTTCATTGGGGCTAGAGACGGCCGACGGGTGAAGGGGGTCTGTCAAGCAGCAGCAGCAGCAAACGAGTGCCCGGCCTCTGTGACAAAAAAGGGAGTGTTGGCAACTGTCAGTTTGTAGATACTGTTCACAACCGCTGGCGAACAAACCGCCCGAGGAACAACATGCCACGTAGCCAGCTGTTCCCCTCCTTGCTCGTGCTGCAGCTTCACAAGAGGCAGCCAAGTAAAAGCTCTCTCGGGTCCATCTCAGAGGCTAAGGTGTCATCTGCGCAGGATCGAGTATCTGAGCAGAGGATTCTTCGTTTTCTTCTTCTGCAGCCTCAGCGACGGGTGGCTTCGTGGCTTCCAGGGGCACCTGGTCTGTTGGCCCAGGGAGCTGGGGAGGAAGAAAAGAAGGGAGGAGGACAATTTTAGATATATAGATATACACTTCCAAGCTGTTGGAAGT